CCCACCCACGCCGAGGCTGGACCCCAGCATACATAGAACTTCTCTTGGCTATTTTCTTTCTTTCCTTTTTTCTTTTCAAGGAGGATACATGTACTCATGAGAGAAAGACAGAGAAAGAGAGAGAAGGAGGGAGAGGAGAAATCACTTCTCCATGAGACATGATCATACTTCAATCACTTATCCTCTGTTTCTCCCTCCTTTCGGAATTTTGTGCCTGCATGAACATGTACCCAGTGTGTTTGTCAAGCCAGCGTCCAGGATTGAAACTGCACAGTCAGCCATGTAGGATCTGGCTGTCCTTACCACTAAGCCATGGGGCTGGCCCATCTCTTGGTTTTCTTACTGTTTAAATGAGACTAATGAGTCTGAATGTGGAAATGGTTACCCTCTTGGTTTTCTAAACGTCTTCCTCCCAGTTACTATCGTGTTTACATGGAAATTACAATATAAGTTAGAGAAATAAATAATTGCACCAAAATCTGGAGACAAGAATAGAGTAAGTGTTCTATCAGGATGCTATCTATTGGGTCACTGGAAAAGTCATGACATATTTTTGCATAGAAAAACATAGAAAAATACATCCTGACTTTTTTTCCAGAAAAGATTTTATATGAAAGTTTTTTATTATATAAATAACTCCTTATGTCTAGGAGGGGGGCCTCCAACCTTCACAAGTAAGCATAGCATGAAATATTAATAGATAGTATATAGAGTCAATTGAAAGTATTGACTTTTTTTTTTTTTCAATTTCAAGGGAAAAAGAAATCAAGAGCCAAACAAACTTTCTTCAAGAAAATGAACGACCTCTTTGAACTTGGAACTTGCATCCGTTACAGGTTTTTCTATTCAATCATCCTAATTCTTCCTTTCTGATAAGTGCCCTCAAGCTTCTCAATCAATTTTCCAGCGTCACCAAAACACACAGCCTGACCCTCCTACATTTCATTCTGCTTGAAACATCTGCATCACCTCCGTGAAGTTAGAACCAATATGCTGCACATTATTACTTCCCCCATCTGTGTAATACAGTGGTCCATCTGCTTCAAGTAAACAAGATGAGGGAGCAGATGAAAGGAGAATGGACATAACTTACAGCAATATATTAATTTCTTTATATGTTATCTTAGCAAACTCTGAAGAGTCTATTAATTTTCTGTCTTTCCTCTCATCTTGTTCTGTAAGGTCTGATTACTTTGTTTACCTCACTTTCCCTAGAAGAATGAAAGAAATGATGCTTCAGCTTTACTTGACTGATACCTAATGGCAATTGAAGCACATTATGTCACCTTTGAGGTTCCTAGTTTATTCATCTGTAAAAGGAAGATAATGGTTGCTGCTATATTTGCCTCGCAGGTTTCCAACAGGATCTAATAAGAAATGATTATGAAAAAGCTCAAAATCTACAATCCAATTCACTCATAGAATGTAATCATATTAAGTTAGCACAGGGCAGTCAGTTTGTCCATGGGCTCAGAAAGTTTTCTAGAGAAGAGCGTGCCGATGGGATGGGGCAGAAAAGGGAGGTCTTATGTCATCTCCCCTTCTTCTAGGCTCTTCCTCATCTTATATAGCTTCACAGTAACCAAGCAGTATCTACCAACATAGTCACTTCCCTGGTAAGAAAGGAAAACATATAGAATGTGTGGTCAATAAAAGGAAATAAAAGCTCAAATACAAAATTTGGTACCAAATTGATTTTGGTTTTGACTTTTTTTTTTCCCGTTTGGAGAGAGATTTTTTTCTTTTTTTCTTTTTCTTTCTTCTTTTTTTTTTTTTTTTTAGAGATCTTTCCATAAGGTGTGTGCACTTGCTGGCGAGACAAAGAGAGACAAAGAGACAGAAAGCGAGAAATCACCCACCCAACCCCGGGGGGGGATGGCCACATCACAGTCCCTTTTCCTTCAGTCTCCTCTCGAGATCTTGGGTATGCACACACTTGCACCCGGCATGAATTTTAAGCCACCAGGTCCATGACTTGAACTGTGGTTGACAATGTCGGAGTCCAGAAATGTAACCATTTTGCCATCTGCTGGTCTTTGGAGAGAGAAAGTTTTGCAATAGGATGCATGTGTGCACTGGAGAGACAGAGCGAAACAGAGAGACAGAAAGCAAGAAATCACTCCCCAGGGGTATGGCCACACTGCATTCCCTTCTCTCTTCTCTCTTCTCCTCTCTGGGTTTTGGGCATGAACACACATGTGCCCTGCATTATTTTCAAGTCTCCAGGTCTGGGACTCAAACTGTGATTGATGAAGGGGGAGTCCAGCAATGTAACCATTATGACATCTGCTGATCCCTAGTTTTGATTTTAAAAGTTTATATTGATGGGCAGTAGATGGCATGGAGGTTCAGGTGGTTGGATCCCAATGGCTGACTCTGCAGTTTCAGTACCTGACCTGGAGGCTTGAAAATCACACCAGGCATGTGCACTTATATACCCAAAATCTTGAAAGGAGAATAGTGAAGGGATTGAGGCATAGCCATCCTATGGGAATGATTTTTTACTTTTTCTATGTCTCTCTCAAGCAAGTGCATATGCCCTATAGCAAAAACAACAACAATAACAAAAAAAAAAAAGATATATTGCCAATATTCAGTAGGACCATTAAAAAGTGCTTCACAAGGTATTCTCTAGTTTTGTCAGTTCTTTAAATATCAAAACTTCCTTCTTTCCCTTTTATCTCTCAAATGTCTTCTGCTCTTCTATCTTAAATGTTCATTCTCTTAGTTTTCTTGATTGCAGACTTAAGTCTCTATCTACTCTCTCCTATCACACCATTGGGTCCAGGGCAGACTTCTTTTAGATTTCCTACTTAAAACTAAGTTAATATCTAATCCCAGTTTTTACCTTGTCTAATTTTATCCATAGCAGATTTTTCTAAGAGTTTTCAATAAACCAAGGATTTGGAGAACAGCTACTTCCTGTACCCTCACAACTAAGCTTTATTTCTCCAGTCTTCTTTCTTTAGCTTTATTGATTTTGTTACTATGCAGCTTCAATGATGTGAAGCGATTTGGTTCTCAGACTTACAGAATTTTATCTCTCTAAGATTATCCACCCAATTTCTTCACTATTTTGAAGCTGGGTGATCAAGGTCACAGTTCTTTGGTTTTAGAGCTGTGAGAAGAGCCTCCATCATATAATATAAAGGTCAGGGCACATTTCCAATATTTCACTCTCCCAGTAGAGTCTTCATGGTTCTGAAGCAGCCACAGGGCAGGTACTAGCCATATCCCACACCAAGAGACTGAGATTCTTTAACCACAAGATCCATGTTCCCACTGTTCATACTGGGTGTCTAAGAGCTTCCATTTCTGTCCAGGTTACACCTGTTCCTTAAGATTTAGATCAAATCCACATACTGAATAAAACCTTTTCTGACCTCCATACAAAGTTAAAAGCAATTTACTCTTGTTTCTGAATTCCCAAGACATAGATTGTCATCTATTTCTTAGTTCCCTACATTAGTGTTTTAGGACTTTCAGAACACAGTTCCAAAAACTGTGGGGCTTAGACAGTAGGAATTTATTGCCTGGAGGATAGAAGTCAAAAATCAAGGTGTCAGCAGGGTTGGTTCCTTCTGAGGACTGGGGATTTGTTCCTTTCAAGTCTCTCTTCTAGCTTCTCATAGACTCAGGCATTCCTTGGCTTGTAGGTGGACTTCCTGTCCCTATGTTCCTTCTAATTGTCTTTCTTCTGTGTCTATATCTGTGTCCAAATATATCTCTTTAAATTTTTTAAAATTTATTTTTATTTATTTATATTCAATCACTGTATCCTTACATCATATCAAATGAACTTTCCCAACATGAATACACTGTACATTGGTTCAAAGATATTACCATACATATTGTCATCAACAGGTAACTTTCCATTTTTCTATCCCTTAAACATTCTACTTCTTTCTTTTTCCTGTTGATTCCCTCCCTCTCCCCCTTCCCCACTTCCCACCTTCTTCCCACACTACGCCTTTATTGTAAGAGCAACAGTAATACTGAATTAGGGCCTACTTTAATGATTTTATTTTAACTTGATTACCTCTGTAAAAATTCTAAGGTCAACTGGTGGTGTGGTGGTTGAGGTGGCTGGATCCCACAGGACTAACTTTGCAGTTTGAATCCCAGACCCGGCAGCTTGGGGAACACACCAGGCACATGTGTGTGCACATACCCAGAGGTCCAAGAGGAAAATGGAGGTGAAGATATTGTAGCATGGCCATTCCCCCAGGGGTGATTTCTCACTCCCCATCTCTCTCCAGGAAGCACACATGCCCTATAGCAAAAACTGGAAAAAAAATTAAAAATTAAAATAAAGAAACCTATCTTGAAAGTTACGTTCTGAGATACTGGAGGTTAGGTCTCCAACATGTTTTGAGGGGACACAAAGCCATAGCACTCATGTAGTAAGTCTAATATAATATAATATAATATAATATAATCAATAATGTAACCATTTAGCTTACAATTGGGTTGACAGAATAGTCATGCTCATCTTTGTGTAGAAAAGCATAGGAAAAATATGTTTTGGCTTTTTCAATAACCTGATTATGTCCTTTGGTATAAGGAGTCTATTGTTCAGGGATGACAGGTGGTATGGGGATTAAGAGTTCTAGACTCTCACATGGCCAACCGTGGTTCGAGTCCTAGATCAGGCAGCTTGCTTTTTCACTTTCCCTCTTTCTCTCTCTCTCTCTCACTCTGCCCCTCTCTGGTCAAATTAAAATAAGTAAATAAAGTTAAGTAAAATAATTCTTTAGAAATAGTCTATTATTCATTTTATTAGGAAATTAACTCCTAGAAACTTATAGTTCAACTATAAATTTAGCTGTAGTTCATGCTAAAACAAATTAAAATCCCTCATATAATGAATACCACAACGAGTAATGTGTCAAATACCTTTCAAGAAAAAATATTCTCCTTCACCACCTATTTTCTGGGCTTCCCTTCTACTCTTAGTCCTTTTTAGGGATTAAGTCAACACATATTTATTAAGGACATACTGTGTGCCAGGTACCCTTCTGGGACCAAGAATAAAACAGCAAGCAAGACAGGCATGGCTTTCATCCTGATGGGTTTTGCTCTGCCATGGAGATCTAGACAATAAACAGGAGAACAAATGAAGTAAGCTGTGATTCTCAAGGAGTAATTTTTTGAAGCATAATTCATACAATCATTCTCAGTGTTTAAAATCTTAGTTTATATTCATGCATCACTTTTCAGCAGCCGGCAGCTTCCTGGGGAAATAGGACCCAGAACAGGGAACTGTCATTGGGGATGGGATAAAAATAAAAACAAGGAACCTAGGACAAGGACATGGAACACTGGGTGGAAGTGCCTCCCCAGGAAGCTTAGCTGAGGGAGGGAGCATGGTTCTTTAGGAAAGGGGAGGATGAGAGAAGGATGGCTGTTTACATCAAAGAGAAAAGACTGAAACAGAGAGGAGAGGTACAGAAAGGAAGGAGGCAGAAAAGGAGAAATGAAAGCCTGAAACATCCAAATATTCTCCTCTTGATGTTTTGGTTGTTGTTCTTGTTTACTGATTTTCCAGACTGGCAGGTCAGCCAAAGCCTGCCAAGAAGGCTATCTTGGGTTCTGTATTCAGGCTTAAAACATTACCTTCAAACATGTAGAATATTTTCTTCCCTTAAAATTGAAAGCTGCAGAAATACACGTATAACATGTAGTGGGAAAGGTGCACAAATAGGTTTTCTGTGTGTGTGTGTGTGTGTGTGTGTGTGTGTGTGTGTGTGTGTGTGTGTGTGTGTGTGTGTGTGTGTGTGTGTGTGTGTGTGTGTGTGTGTGTGTCAGAGCATTCATTAACTGTGGCAAATCTGGCAGTGAACAAATATTTATTGGCTGTTCATTATAAGCCAAATGCTGTTAGATGTCTGAGATAAAGCAATGAGTAAAACATAGCATAGAATGTAGGTTCATTGTTGATTCTTGTCTTACAAACCATTTTGGTTTTGGAATAAACTTTTCTGATTTTCTTCAAGTATTTAGCTACAAATAGATAAAGAAAATGTATTACATATATTTGGATTTCATGCTCTCAGCAGCAGTTATTTCCTCAGTTCCCTTCACATGATAATTACGATGCACAGTTAGCACTTGGAACAGTGTCTGAACACTGACCACTCAGTAATTGTTAGTTATGAGGAGGAAGAGGAAGGTGATAGTGTTGGGAAACTATAGTTAATTACTAGACCTGAAAATGACAATGTATTCTGAGGTACGGGGAGGTAGAATAAGTTGGAGAGAAGCAATCAAGAGACCTAGGTGCAAGAGACCTGGATGCAAGTGCCAATCTTTGTCATTGGGGGCTTCAAATTAGTCTCTCTGGATCTCCATGTGCTCATTTATAAGACAAGGAAATAAAGACATGTTGTGCTATGTCACTGGAGGTTATATGGATGAAATCATATAATGGACATTGTAATAATTTTGTATTGCAAAAATACTATTAAATATAGGGTTAATAATATTTATTCTGGGCATAAATCAAAGTATTTATCAAAAGATCCATCTTTTTCAAATACAATTAATATATTATTAGAAATCCATCATATCTAATTGTCTTATATTTTGTTAAATGGAAAATCTAAGATCTGAATTTATTTCTCATGATGCATATACAAAGGACTTCTGAGATAGGTTTTTTTTTTTTTTTTTTTTGTGGGAGGGAAACATTTTAGTTTAGTTGTTTGGAAAATGGTCCATGCTGGTGAATCTGTGCCATCTCTGTCATCTCCATAGCAACAAACTCTGATGTAACAAACAGAAGAACTTGATGTATAAATCAAAAATAGCTCAGAGATATGGTAATGGGAATTCAGAAAATTACTAGGAATGTAAGAAAAATATTTCCATGAAATATTCTCTCTTCCACTTCTGTTCTTAATGTGAAATTCCTCTTTGAAAATTATTTGTTACTGTGTCTCTTAAATTTCAAATGCTATCCTTTATTTTTCCTCTATTAAAAAATTGGTTATTGCAGACTGAGGCATTTTTAGAAAACGAGACATTTGTAAGCTGACTCACTTAAGGGAGCATGTGATCTCTCATGCAAGATAGCATTTTTAGGACCCAGCTGTGGCACTGAGACCAATGACAGATAGGAAGGATCTCACTATCCTTGACATTCTGGATCCCAAGGTTAGAGTAACAAGGACTAGATGGACCTCTAACCAGATTCTGTCATATGTTCTTGTCTTTAGTGTTTTCAGTAGTCATTGATTTAAACCAAATGAAAAATAGTAGTAAATGTTTATGTAAAGTTGACAGCACACTGATAATATTCCAGGAGGGGTGTGTGGGTATGTGTATGTATCTTTTCATTCCTTTTTTTTTTTTTTTTCATTACAGCCTTCAGGAAATAGGTGCTATTATTATCTCCAATTTACAGGTGAGAAAGCTAAGGCAGAGATTACATAACTTGCTTGAAATCACGCAGTGCTAATGCCAACTGTGCCGTTCATTTTCTCTAGCTGATAGTAGTTTATTTTGCTTTGTATCTAGAAGATCACCTCTGGGCAAAATAATGCATATTTTTATACATTTCTCACTTAATTCTCACAGTATCCCTTTATGTAGGTGTTACTTTCATTCTACAGGTGATAAAATGGAGACAAAAGGATTTTGAGTGAATGAGTGATGGAATTATGTAATTTACCAATAACTTTTTATTCTTTCAACTGGGACTCAGAAATTTTAATTTTAAATAACTCATCATAGTGAGTGGTTCAGGACTTACTTCCTAGATTGAATCTAAAGCTTAGAAAGTGATTTAAAAGAATATGTAAACTTTACAAAGATGCCTGGGTGCTTCTGCAAAATGTTTTATCAAAGTCCATAAAATAGAATAAGTGGGTGGAGTTGGAAATGTATCAGGTATATACCAGAGGCTTGTTTTGCCTCCAGTAGAGGCTCTGGAGACATAAATTCATTTTCGTGTTTGTGGGATCAAATTCTCAGAATTCACTTAAATGGCAAATATGCTCACATTGTACCTTTTATTCTTATTGAAGGACATTTTTATGGAGTACCAATTCTGATGGCACTTTATACCAAGTAGGCTTCAGGTTGCTCATGGTTGAGTGGATGAGATGATAAACAAAAAGTGACCGAAGTATGGGCTGGCTCCATGCACTACTGGCTAAATTCACTGGATCTTATATGGCCAACCACATGGATCAAGTCCCAGACCCTGTGGCTTAAGACACACACCAGGTGCATGTGCTTATGTGTACAAAATCCTGAAAGGAGAGCGATGGAGAAGGGATTGCAATGTAACCATTCCCCATGGACAGTGCTTCCTCTTTTCCCTTAATGGTGGAGGTGGAAGACAGAAATGAAAATAAAGGATAAATCCATTTTGGAGGCTTTAGAAATGGTCAGAGAAGAAATGCCACAGAGGAAACAGTATCTGAACGAAGTCTTAAAGGATGAGTCAAAATTTTCCAGGAAGTTGCTTGGAAAAGCTGATTTCAAACACAGGGAAGAGAGCAAGATTTTGAGGTAGTACTATACTATACAAAGAGAGAATAGAAAAAAGTTAGTTGCTTTGTCTAAATTTATCACTTCCATGAAATAAGTAACTTAATTTTGTATAAACATCATAATTTTAAAACATGTTTCTAATTTTCATTAATAAATAGACTTGCAAGCCTTTTGTGGGAACATGGATCCTTTAAGAAAACTGAGAATGATTTCTCATTGTTTTCTACTTGTCACTTTTTTTTCTTTCTTTTTTTAGTAAGTTTTTGCCTTAGGGCCTGTGTGCTCACTGGAGACCGAAACAAAGACAGTGAGAGGAAAAGTGAGAAATCCTCCCCCTCCCCCAAGGGACTGGCTACACTGCAATCCCTTCACAAAGATAGAAGGAAAGTGAGGAATCACCCCGCTTCCCCCAGGGGGAATAGCCACATAGCAATCCTTTCTCCTCCATTCTCCTCCTAGGATCTTGTGCATGCACAAACATGCACCTGGCATGAGTGTCATGTCACTGGGACTCGAACCAAGTTCAGCCATATGGGAGTCCAGCAATGCAACCGCTACACCATCTGCGGGCCCCTCTACTTGTCACTCTTAAGAAATTTATCTAATAAAACTGTGTTTCACTATTTCAGGATTGTTTCCCCTATGTATTGTAAGTGTAAATACTTTCATTGAAATACAGAAAACTTAGGATATATTAAACGATGATTTTTTACAGTAAATTTATCATTTATGATAATAAACTTCCTTCTTCAAACTTCCTGCCAAATTTCAATTCTTTCAAGATGACTTAGATCCTTTCTGATGTGCTTTCTCTAATAATCTTTTTAGATAGTTTTTAAAGTGCAAGCACACACATGAGTGGGAGAGAGACACAGACAGGAACTCATGAGTATCTGGGCATGCTGCAGTCCCCTTCCTTCAGTCCTCTAGTCCATCAGATCTGGGCACTCACATACTCTGCCTGGAATGTCTCAGGTGGACCAGGCCAGTGTTTCAAACCACAGTCATCATGTCAGATTCAGCTTCTCTTTTGCAATGCATTACTATTGCTCTTCAGAGTTGGCCCAGTCCTTTGTACTAATGGAAGAGTCTTTAGAAATGCTTTCATCCCAGAAATCAGTGAAAATAAGACAAATACACTTACTCTTTTCAGTTGGAGGAGCACAAACACAACTCTTTCTGTAGAAGGTTTCTTAACCCTTTTCTCACAGTCATAGGCTCTTCTAATTTACCTGTTCTTGCCCATCTCAGTCTCATCCCCTGTTCCCCAGACTCTTCAGTTTGACTTTGCCCTTTTACTGTCTAGGTTGCATTCTAAATCATGTATTTAAATGGCATTCATTTGCTCATAAATATGAAGGATTTTTTGTTTTGCCGTGTTTGTGAATAGTAGGTTGATAGGTAAGCTCTTCTGCTTTCAAAGGACTTTTTCCAAGTTGCTCTTTTAATTGCTGACAAATTGCCTAATCCAATCACTTCATACAGTTCAATGTTGGTGGGGATGATTATTACATTTTTTTAAAGAGGTTTTTCCTTAGGGTTTGTGTACTCACTGGGGGAAGAGAGAGAGGAGAAAGACAGACGGTGAGAGGGA